CCCATAAGTTAGATATCTATCACGCAACGCATTTGTTGTTGTCAAGGTCCCCACCAAGGTCCCCCACCAAGGTCCCCACCAAAACTTAGACCGAACCTACGCCCTTGGTCCACAAAAATATAAATCTGCTTAAAAGCATCAGACTGTCTCCCACTAAGGTCCGTGAGCCTGTGCCAGGCACTGGAAGATTAGCTTCTTTAGCTTCTTTCATAGTTTTTCTGCTCTGAGCTCGTTGCAGAAAATATTTCCATGGCGTTTTTTTTTCTTTTTTTTTTTTTTTTTTTTTTTTTTGCTGCAGCATCCTCATGATGACAGGAAGTGATGCACTTCTTCATCTCTGCTTTTGGTTGCTCTTTTAATGCACCGCAAATTTAGTTCACCTACGTCAGTGGTGCATGCCCACATGTCTTGTTTCGGCACCATTGTGAGTTGTTCTAACCTTTACTTTCCGTGTGTGCCGAGTCCTGTATTTGCTTCAGAATAAAAGTAATACGCATCATAATTTTGTTTGTACATAAAGTAAAAGAAAATTTTCATATGCTGATCAAATAAAAAGGACATGAGAAGGATGAGACTATCGTTCAATTTAATGCTCAGTATACTGATGACTATAAAGTATATGATACAATTTATCTAAGATATCTAATAAAACAAATGTAATAAAGCATTTCTTCTAAACTATAATGGAGGCATTAAATACTAAAAGGAAATGCAATACAACTGAATATAAATGCTCAACTTATACACCACAACTTTTATGTTAACTCTTTCAACTCTTAAAAGATGGACACTTCATGCTTCTTTGGGTTTTCTCTACTGCTCGGTGACTCAGGAGCTCCCTCTGTAGGACAAAGCCTGGAAGCACCACTTTAAAATGAAGCAGGAAGCTTTTTGTCACAGAGCGCGCATGAGATGAGGCATGCAGAAAGGCAGGTAAATGCTTTACAGTTATTTGAATTTTGCCCTGACAACAAATTAATCTCATATTGAAGTATCATAACTTCAAATTGACGTTGTTAGAAATCCAAGCCTTTTGTGTGAGTTTTTCTTTTTCAGATGAAAGAATATCTCACATTAAAAACCAATTACTTTTAACAAAATCACAACTTTTGTTAAAATCCCTTGCAGTTCTCATAGCAAAGATGTGTTTAGCTTCCTTTTTAAATATCATATATATTTCCTGCCTCCTTGGAGTTTTTTATATGACAGAGGTCTGGTTCCATAAGTGATTCTTTGAGATGGGAAAGACAAGAGCTCGTATAATTAAAATAACACAGATACATGGCAATTTTTATGAGACAGGGAATGACTTCAGGAAAACAGACACATTTGAGTTCCCTGGAAGTAACTGCTATATTTGTGCGCTGAGATGGTGGTTAACCTTTATTAGTAACAGTTTGGTTGTACAACATATTGCACCAGTAGCGGTTAAATAAATAATCCGAGTTGATGAGCTTAAAAGAAAAATACAGGAACAATCTTAACAAAACTAAGTGGCTAGCAAAAGGAACACAAATACAGTTCTTAAACAATTAACAAGTGAGAACTCTGAGTAAGACAGCAACATAAACAGAAAAACAAGGAAAAGGAAAATTATTACAGAAATTGTGCCCTTGACCTGATAAATAAGTACTTTTTGTTCCAATTAATTAAAGGATTAATTAAAGAGGGAAAAAGAATCAACACTTGCAGTACCTTGCAAAATAATTCACTACCCTCATCTTTGCCACATTTAGCTGTGAAACAACCACAAACTTTTAGGTATTTTCTTAGCATTTTTCCAATATTTTTTGTCTTCACTGTGGTGCCTCTAAAGAAATCTGTCAGAGGTCAGAGGTCAGAGATAAAGTTCCAAGGTTTAGTCCCTAAAATAACATCCTAAGCTTTGAACTTCTGAACATTTTTGTCAAAATGGCAAAACTATAAATCAAGACATGTTTTGTTTTTCCAGGAGACTGTTAAGCAGAAAAACAGCCAAGAATCCAGCAGTAACTCTGGAGGGGCTGCAGAGATCCACAACTCATGTGGAGGTATGGTTGTGCTTTTACAGTGAGACCAAACTTCTCTCTATTGCAAAACAGAACTGTTATTGATCTCCAAACAATATGCTCCATGTGAAAAAAACTAACAACCTACATCATTTTGACATTATCATCCCCACGGTGAAACACGGTGGTGGCATGGCCATGCTGTGGGGATGATTTTCTTCAGCAGGGACAAAAACACTGGCCTAAACTCACTGTAATCCTGAAAGAAAACAGTTTAGAGGCTGAAAAAGAGTTGAGACAAAGACAAAGGTCCAGCCAACTTCCAGCAATAATGAGAGTAAAGCATGTGCATGTGTTGCTACAGTCTAGTCAAAGTCCAGACCTAAATTAATAAGATTTCAATACTCCTCTTTCCACATGCTCTTCATCCCATTCAACAGAACTTGAGATATATTTTTAAGAAATAATAACATCTGTAGATGTCCAAAAACTGGTACGCACATACTCCCAAAAGACTCAGCTGCAACAGCAGCAAAAGACGATTCTGCAAAGCGCTAAAATCTCAGCTAAATGCATTCAAGTTTGTGGTTGCAACATTTCAAAACACGGACAAATGTGAGGGTGTGAATTTTGCAAGGCACCGGATGTGGATTGATGCATCGTAAGCAGAAGAACCTCATGCCAGAGTCCAGAGCAGAGAAACTACTGAAGCTCCTACGGAGGCCTAATGCGAACAGAAAAGGCAGTGTTTGAGCAGATATTTCAGAACCAGAACATCCAGCTGAACAGACAGGAGGCTTGGATATTGCATTTAATATTAAGCAACAAAAGAATCACTGTCAGTTTATAATGACTTTGTATCACAAGAAGTTATAAGTCTACTCCCTTTTTATACAGATCTATACACATAAGGAAGATAAACAATGACACTATACATCAGGTGTTTTAATTGGACATTTACAGTAAGCATGGCCATAGGAGAAAATAAGTATCATCTGCATTTCTTTAAATTACAAATTACAAAAACCACTAAATTATCTTTTATTTTATTAATAAAATATTTGTATCTGATAGAACTTATTTAATAACCAGACATAAAAGTTAAAACTGATTAATATGTAATTAATATTTATCATCTTGAGAGAAAATGATTAATTTCTTTACATTGTTATTCAATCTTCTCTTATTTTCATCCCCTGCTTCATCTTTCTGTAACACAGGTGTTTAAGGTAGAATGGTGACAGAGAAGTTTGTTAAAGAAATGCTACCTTTAAGGGGTTTTTTCTCTGCTGTGTCAGAAATAATACGTAAAAATAAAATCAAAACCTCCCACACTGAGGCCTCTAACAACCAGCAACAATCCTGAAATGTCCGCTGAGCTGTTGTATCACGTGAAAGAGCAAGCTCAAGGACTTAGAAGCCCCACAGCTACAGGAAGTGACATCACCAGTGACCAAACCCAAGGTGCCGACTTGAACAGGACACTGATTGCAGAACATATCAGGAGATGCCCTGTAACCGAGGAAAAGTGTGAGTTCAGATACTGCAGATGGGAGAAGAAGAAGAAGAAGAAGAAGAAGAAGAAGAAGAAGAAGAAGAAGAAGAAGAAGAAGAAGAAGAAGAAGAAGAAGAAGAAGAACAAAACTAATAAGGTTTAGGTGAAGCAAGAAGAACTTACTGTGATGAACAGCCATGCTGTTCTCCTTCCAGCCGTTGCCCTGGTAAACCCTGCAGGTGTAGGTGTACGGCTTCTCGTCTGCCAGCGGGGCCCAGGTCAGGCGGCACAGATTGGGGGCCACGAGGCTGACGTTGCTCCTCCTGCGGTCCTCTGTGGACACATAGATGACGGCGTTGGGGTAGGTGGAGCCCACCAGCCGGCTGTCCTGGCGATACTCGCAGTAAGGCCCGGGAACCATGTCGCTGGCCAGGAACTCGCAGTCGACCCTGACGTTTCTCTCCAGGTACGTCAAACACGTAAACATCTGGGGCCCGCGCGGCGTGAACAGATATGTGTACACGGAGCTCACTGAAAGAGATGCGAGCAATATCACATATTTTTTAAATCTAAAAAAGTGGGTTTTTCTCTCCTTAAAATATCCAAGCAGCACTTTTTTTTGTCTGCAACACAACCAAAGTTTGAGCAACAAAATCTTTGTTTTGCTTTCTATTATTTAGGCAAGAACATGTCTATACACACACACACAGAGAGAGAGAGAGACACACACATATATATACATATAACAAAGACAAAAAGAAAAAGCAAGAAAAAATAAAAATTAAAGCAAATTATCAAGCCCAATTTTAGATACATCTTATGATTTCCTGCCTCTCTCATACTCATTTACCTACAAACATTTAAAACTCCAGACACGAGATAAACTTACGTTATTTCCACATCGTAAGACACTTAAATCTCACATTCTCAACCTTAAATGTTCACTTATTTATAAATTTTTAATATCACCAATAGCATTTTTGGTCTTCGAGACCCCCATCCTATACAACATTATTTCCCAATAAGCTCCTTTTTGAACAGTTTTTAAAGGTGGTTTACATGTGTACATTTTTTGAACTCATCATTCAATCTATTTTATAAATCTATATATGTTCAGTTCAGGTTAATGTTATTCAAAGAGCAACTCTGGTTCAGTTTTTGCCACAAAAGTGAGGTAGAATAAACTAAACACAGCAGAGTAAAGCAGGTAGAGTACAGAGCTATGCTGTATTTTTTTTAGCTCCATTTCTCTAGTAGCTCTGGCCACGTTCACAGTTCTTGCTGAAGAAAATGATCCCCACAGCACCATGCTGCCACTACCACACCGTGGTTATGATGTGTTTCTTTGTCATCATGATTCTTTAACCTATTCTGTAGATTAAACACACACTTTATTTAGACTAAGTGTCTTCTTAAGGATACTTTTTCACAAATCTGAGAGAAATGAACCCAAATGCACAAAGAACACCAAAACAAAGATACTAAGCTTTTCTAATAAAAGTGAACGCTGAGAAACAAACTGAACAAGGCAAGACCTACAAAACAAGGAAAGTATTAAAACATAAACACAAATAAAAACCTAAACTAGTATTGTGACAGAGGAATGATATTATGCGATAAAATGGGGCATTCAGGAGAAACAACTGGGATTATCATCATTATTACTAATAAATATTATATGCTTCCATGTTAAACAAAGCGCTGCAGCTGAATGTTTTTGCTGAGTAAGGCTTGACGCTTGATATGAGGATTACATAACCTCATAAAAAAAACTGTTGAAATATTGGTTGTGTTCTTTTAAAGAGTTTCAGATTTTATGCTGATTTGTGACAAATACAACTATAAAATACATGTTTTCAATTATTTATTTTACTTTTTACAGATTTTGTTAGATTGATGAGGTAAAACACAGTGGCCTGCAAACCCATCAACCTTTGGAAATATATAAGCTAAGTTAAAAGAAAAAGAAAAATGACATACTGTGAGTTTGATGAGTAGTCATTATTTTGCCAAAGAGGAGGCAAACCGTGACCAGCAGATGCAGCTCCATGGCGACGGGTTTCTGTCCGATCAGACCTTCACACCACAGTCCTGCATGGCAAAGTTTAACACGGGACATAGCATGAGAAAGTTACCACGCAATGCAATGCAGTATGTGATTATGAGAAAATAACAGACTAGCGACACTAAAAGCAAACATGCAAACCTACATACTGTCACACCGAAACCCCAAAATAAGGGCCTGGCAGTGCCGCTCTACCTGCAGCCTGAATGCAGGCAGGACTACGCCTATGCGGTCTCGTTGCACTGCAGCAAACTGCACAGCTCCCCCTCCATGCGCAGTTTGTCCTCTGCAGGTAAAACACCCCGGCAGCCATGCACCTCGCCTTCATCGCATGCAAAGCCGCCGTGACATGACACGTTTCCTAAAATCTGAGTCTGACTGATTTTGTCCAGAAGCAGAGTCGCCGCTCTTACCTGATGTTTGGTCCCCGAGTGGCATATGGGGCTTTGCTGCGCCGATGCGCTGCTGTGCGCTGCAGCATCAGCATCAGCAGGATCCACTGACTGACTGACTGACTGGGGATGTGGCCCTGAGCAGCGAGCCTGCGCTTAAACACACAGGCACACTGCAGCCAGGGATAAAATGTAGTCATTTCATACATTTACTTAAGCTTGTTTTCTAAATCAAACGGGTTTTTTTTTATTTTTTATGTGAGTTTGTTTGATTGGTGCGAATCAAAACTCTTAATATAACAAGTGACATTTTTAAACATTCGAGTCGTTAAAACCGGTCAGTTTAGTAAATCTTCTGCTAAATGCTACTTTCATAAGTTCGGAAGAAGTCCATTTATTTATTAGGGAAGGTGGAGATACTCAAATCCCATCAGTGCCTAGAACAAGAGCTCCCCCTGCAGGACAACAACAGGACAAACCACCACCAGCAACAACAACAAAAGTTCAACTTGGGTGACATCTGGTGCTAAAGTAAAGTAAGAGAAAAGTGTGTCTGCTCTTTATGATCACCTATATGGATTAAGATGTCTTCCTATAGCACCAAAACGTCATCTTGAATCAAAGACTATATGTGTTTATTCTAAATACATTATAGTCCATCTTTCATAAATCATAAACATATTTCTTGAGAGTTATAAATGAAGGCAACTGCACTTCTCTGGTCTTTATTTATAACATAATTATCCTGTCCTAAATGACTGAAAATCCACAGCAAGATAAGTAGAATAAATGTTACAAAATAAAAGTACTTATTGTAAATGTGTTAAAGTGAGGATACTGTAAGTCCTCTTAATTGGTTCTGGACAGCCTTGTAAAAGTATTCACATATCTTGAAGCTTTTACAGTTTTGTTAATTTATACTCCCAAATGTCTGTGTATTGTATTGACATTTCATGTAACAGCCCAACTCAACAGCATGAAAGAGAGGAGAAACTAAAATCTATGTGTATTTAGTCTCTTTTACGCTGAGGCTGTTCACTAAATCCCCCTGTAATCATTTTCCCTAATCTAGTTAATGAACATGATCCAACTCTATAAATTGAGCTGAAGGTTTTCTAGAGAACATTAGTGAGCAAGCAGTCAGGTCAGGGATAAAGTTATTGTGAAGTTTATAAACGGTTGGATCATAAAACAATATTTCAAGTTTTAAATGTCTCACAGAGCAAAGTTCAATCCATCATCTGACATAGAAAGAGCATCATTTACTCGTAAACCTAACAGGACCTGACCTAAATTAAGAAAACCCAGAAATTAGGCAAGAGGAGTTTTATTTAGACAAGCAGTCAATAAGCCCGTTACAACTCTGGAGGAGCAGCAGAGACCCACAGCTCAGGTCTGTTGACATGACTACATTAGTCACCAGTTGTGCCTTTCAAAGTTATATAACAAAAAGAAAGGAAAACTAAATTAAGTCTTGCATAATTTCCCTTCAGCTTCACAAAACGTATTACTTTGTGTTGGTCAGTGAACTGAAATATCAATCAAACACACTGAAGACTGTGACAGAATGTGAAAAAGTTAAAGGCCTATGAATGTTTTTCTAGTTTTTCCAGGTATTATTCTATTTCAGTCAACAACCCTCCCAGTAGCTGCAAAGTGATTGTGTAAGATCAGGAAACTCCTGTTTTATTGGTTGCAGAGTCATCTCCAAGTTTCTCTGTTCAAGCTGTGCACATGTTGACATTTTGTGGCACTAGAAACTCAGCTGGAGAGGCTTGTTGTGATGAGGATGAAAAATAAAACATGGAAAAAGTCATTATGATAAAGGCACCATTATGTTTGTTCTAATTGTGCACCGTTTGCAAACTGGTGGAGTACAAATGCCTGAGTGTTGTTTCTACATACTTTTTCCTCTGGAGTTTTTTTTTTTTTCACTTCCTCTATAACCTAAACATATTTATTTATGTTTGTTGGAATATATCGAGATTGTGACTCTCTTCCAATTAAGAGAAGCATGTTGCTTCATTAGCTTTTTTCAGAGTTCTGGAAATTTTTTAAAATTATTAGGTCCATATTGAGCATATGACTCCTCACAGACTCCACTGCAAAAATAATAATAATAAAATAATAATAATAATCCCACCCTTACAGGGAGTCATTTCTGTTTGAGCAAAAGCATGTTAAAAAAATTTTCTCTTCAGATTTAAAATGCAGGATGTGGGCTATGCAGTGACTAAGATATCCCACTCATTTCGATGTGATACAGATTTTTGGCCAGTGTTGAACTGAAAGGCTAAAATCTAATTAACATCTAGCAGGGTAGTAAGCAGCAAATCACTCAGTTGCATAGTTTAATTGAGTGAGTAATACAGGCAAAGGCTCTTCTTTCATCTGCAGTGTATCAGCAGCAGCAGCAGCAGAACAGTGGAGCCGCCCGGATCACAGCCACAGAATCCCAGTCGAATACTCTTGGCAGGAATCACCACAACCTGCTTTCTCAGCAATAAATATATTTTCGAACCGTGTAAGACATGTGAACAAAAGAAGAACAAGAAGAAGAAGAAAAAGAAGTGTTAATGCATGACATAAAAAGACAGCATAAAGGAGTGGCATGCGGTGTCACAGAGAGCTGTGGTTTGTGCTGCTCTCAGACTTCTGTCTGTGTCCCAGGAGATCGCTTCAGTGGGCCAGTTGTTCACCGGCTGTCCAGGAAGGACCTTGACAAAATGGATGAGCCGTGTGAAGGAGATGCAGAGGATACTGTAGGTTTAGCTCAGTGAATTACACAATATGGACTGTAGTGAAGGTGCAGTTCATCTTGTTTATACACTAAATAGGAGCCATAAATATATACAGCTCTGGTAAATGTTTGGAAGAGCATATTGGCAGGTGACTGCTGCCACACGGCTCAAAACTAAACTTACCTTGCAGAAGAGTCCCAGTAAGCGTGAAAGTAAGGAATGTGGGTGAGTGATGACACCTGTAGCAGTGGATTCTATTGGGGTTCATTACAACGAGCTAACAGATTAGCTGCGTGCTACTCTGCTAGCAAACAGCTAATGTGTGCTAGCTGTTTGCTACTCTGCTAGATGTGTGTTAGCAGGGTAGCAAACAGGTAATCTGCTAGCTTGTCGTAATGAAGCCCAACATGGAACCCAGCAGCTAGCTGGAGTAGCTAGCTGAGTGCTAGCTGCTCTAGCTAGCACTGTGGCGGCATTGTGTTTTCAACCCCTGTGTTAGTGTGCTGATCAGTTATAAGTTTCCAACCTTCTTTAGTGTTAAAAATAATAAGTTTAGTTCTCATATTATTTTATTTTGTGAACTTCAATCAGTCAATCAAGTTTATTTGATATTATTATTAAGTTTATTTCACATTTCAGCAACAGTTCAGCATTCTTTACATCATTAAAAGACAAAAGTACAAAGTTGTACAACACAGTCAACAACTGAATGTTTTTATTGAAATCACGTAGATGTCAGCTAAAGGGTCCCCAAAGCTCAAACTGTGGGATCAACACACTGAAGGCAGAAAGAGAAAAAATACAGAAACAAGTGTTTTGACTGGGTTTTGCAAAAGTTTTCATGAAATTACAAAAATAGTTTAGTGTTAGTGTCTTATTTGTATCTTGACGAATGATTGTATCGTTCTCACAAAAGCGACATTTCAGGCATTGTTTCCCATTTGAATCCATTCTGTCCATGCCTTAGTTTGATGACATACTAGTTAAATATTTGTCTTTCATTTAATTTTTTGTGATCGGTTGTGGAAATATACAAACTTGTCGCCTGGGTGTGCGATTGGTTAGTGCTAGTTGGTATGGCAGGATGCACCTTGAACTTGTTGCTAGTCCGTCACAGGCAACACAAAGTCATGCAACTAACTAAACATGAAGATTTTTTTTGGCTGTCAATGGAAACTGGAGTATCCCAGCAGGAACCTACACACACAAGGACACACACACATTCAGGCATTAAAGCCCATGGTCAGGATTTGAACCTTTTTTTACTTCAAGTCAACAGTCCTCACAACTTACAGCTACATTCAACCTCTCAATGTTTATACCACTAAGATAAAATGCTCACATCCTGTTATTAAGAAAAGCACCTCCATAGCATGATGCTGCCTCTACCATGTTTCAACCATATGTGATGTAAAATAGTATTTAGTAATTGCAGTTTTTTGTTATTATTTACCTTTCTGTCACACCTAAATGCTTCAGATCATCAAACAACTTCTAAATTAAAAGATGACTTGAAGCAGAACAAAAAGCTTTTAAATCATGATTTTATTTAATAAAGTAGAACTGACTGTAGAGGAATTTTGGTCCTTTACAGAATTGTTTTCATTCATCCATACTGAAGAGGTTTTTTGTTGGTCATCAGAGGTCATGACCTTGGGATGCTCCCTTGAATGTCAGTTTTCTTGAATCATGAACACTGATCATAATGAAAGGGCAGAGTGCTCCAGATGTCATTCTAGGTTATCTTCTGATGTTTCTTGGATGAGTTGTTGAGCTGATGGAGTAATTTTTAGTTTGGGCAGAAACACCTGGAAATGTTAGGGTGTCTTTAATGATGCTGTTCTAGTAGAAGGTGAAATTTTGTCCCAATCTCAGGTTTCTTTCCAGGATTGCCCTTTATTAACTTCATCTATATTCAAATCAGATCTGAAATGTTTAAGAAAAGCATCACCACAGCATGATTCTGCCACCACCATGTCACACTCTGAGCTTGTATGCATACATTTTTCTTTTATAATTTGTCTTGTTGCAAACATAAACGCTAGTCTGTAATTGGGAATTGTTATAAGATATTTCATAATTGTGGATTTGTTTCACAAATAAAAATACTAAAATGCATTTTTATTTTCACTTAAACCCCTAAAAAGAGTCCAAACGCTGCTGAAGTCATGTAATAAGTAAGTAGAGTCCACCTGAGTCTAATTTAATCTCACTGTAAGTACTTATCATAACATCCCAGATGTCTCTCAGATTCAGCAGCCCTAGTCTG